AACAGCTCAGTGCAATGGGATTTTTGAACCGTGAAGCAAACTTGCAAGCCCTCATAGCAACAGGAGGTGATATCAATGCAGCCATTGAAAGGTTACTCGGTTCGCAGCCTTCATAGCAGCATATCTGTAACTTGGAAAATATGTAATTTATTTTTGATAACGGCTCTTAAATCTTTAAAATACCTGCTTTATTATTTCAAAAAAAAAAAAGAAAAGTCAATATGGTGTTCCAATCACTTGATTTCAAATCAAGCAGGTTTTGTTTAGAAACACTGACAAGTATTTAATTTCTAAATACTGAAAGGACAAAAAAAAATCACTGCATTAATCTAGGAAGAATAAAAAATAGGAGAGACTAAAAATTTAGTCAACTTCTGTGATTTCAGCTGCTTAAATTCTACAGTATTTGCAAACAGGATTTGCAAACACAGCTTTTAAAGTTAAAGGAAGGACTATCTAAAACAATGCTGTTGAATTGTGGAACTGGACAAAAGTATTAAACATACCAAGAGACCGCCATGAGAAAGAACAGGTCTGTCTTGGCGAGGGTGAAACCAAGTATCTTCTTGGAGGCAAGGATTTTGAAGCTCCATCTCACATACCTTGGGCACGTGGCCAGGAGGAACCAGTCCTTGGAGAAGGACATCATGCTTGGAAGGGTGGAGGGACAGTGCAGGAGAGGAAGACCTGAGGTGAGTTGGACTGACACAGTAACTGGGGTAATTGGATTAGGTGTATTGGAGTCAGTGAGACAGGCTCAGGAGAGGGCAGGGTTCAGAGCTATTGTACATAGGGTTACTATGAGTTGCAAGGTGACTTGATGGCACATAACAACACCACCACAATCTAAAACAAATGGATGATTAGACATATACATGACAACAAACTGGAACATAGCATATATTGCAAAGTGAATTGGAGGAGGGAGAGGGAGGAAAATGTTTATGGATGAATGAATGAATGAAAACACAACCTTTTTGTAAATTTTCAGTAAAATCACAATTAAAGTAACCCAACTTCTGCACTCTGATATTCATCAAACATGCAATCAAGTTGCACATATAGTAATTGGTGACTGGAATGAGAAATTGGGAACAAAGAAGAAGAGCTGGTAGATGGAAAATATGGTCTTGGTGACAGAAATGAAGCTAGCATCTGATGATAGAGTTTTTTAGAAGCAATGATTTATTTATTACAGATACCTTTTTTAAAAAAATCCAAAATAAAACCCTCCAACATAAAGAGCTTCTACATACTAGTAAGATGATTGTAGGGGGAAATCTTTCAAGTAAAGTTAATCCTTCTAATACAAAGCACAATGGCTAGAAAAGCCAGGTAGTAATTGGTGGTTTAATGGGTTTATTGTTCAAAATTATTTTCCTATAGGGAGCTCTAGTGGATTAGTCCTTAGGGAGTTATGCTTTTAACCTATTTGTGGTGTTTCTCTGTGAGTTTGGATCCACCAGGGACTCTGAGTGAGAAAGAGGGGCAATCTTCTTCCATTTGATTTATAGCTTTGAAATACCTGATGGAGGGTCAGCTATGAGTCAGTTCTGAGCCAATGGCATCAAGTTGAATTGAGTTGTATACATATGGACCTCACCTGATGGAATATACAGAAATCAGATTGACATCTGTGACAAGAGATAGTAGAGAAGATACTGAACTTCTCAATCAGCAGTTAAAGCAAAGCCAGGAGTCAACTGTAGAACAGACTATTAATTACTTATTTGCAAGTTCAAATTAAACCTAAAGATAATGAAAATAAACTCACAAAGTAAAAAATAATGACCTTAACTTAATCCCATCTGAATTTGAAATCCATCTCAAGAATTGATTTGAGGCACTAAACACTAATTACCAAGAGAGTTGTAGGATGATTTCAAAGGCAGCATCCATGATCATCCAGTCACTGGGAAAAAATATTTGGCAATGACATGTCTGATAAGGGACTTAAGTCTAGAATTTATAGAATATTCAAGCACCACACAAGATAAAGGTAAACAACCTAATTGAAAAATGGACACAGGATATAAACAAATACTTCACCAAAGAAGACATTCAGATGGCTAACAAGCACATGAAGAAATGTTCAAAATCCCTAGCTCTAAGAGAGATGCAAATTAAAACAACTATGAGATATCATCTCACCCCAGTAAGAATAGCAAAATTCAACAGAGCAGCAAACAACAAATGCTGACAAGGTTGTGGAGAAACTGGAACCCTTCTTCACTGTTGGTGGAAGTGTAAGGTGGTGTAACCACTATGGAAGGCAGTATGGTGTTTTCTCAAAAAGTTGGAAATAGAAATACCATTTGACCCAGCATCCTTGGATGCATATGGATATTATCCTGTCACTCACAACATTGTATTTCAAGATCTCAAAAGACTTTTTTAAACTATAAAAGTGACCCTGGTTTTCCTTATCTTATCTCTCACATAGTAAATCATATGATTGTCAGAATCAAAATGTCCCATGCCAACACATCTCATTTTGCCAATACCTCGTATATCACTATTTATGTATTCCATTTCTATCTCCCCCCCCATTTCTTTCTTAATAATGCCCAATTTTCCTACATTCATGCTTCTCACATTCCATGTTCCAATCGCTAGTGTCTGCTTACAAATGTTCCTTCTCCTTTGTGTTCCCATACTGAGGGCTCAGCCTCACGTGCCATATCTACTAGTTGGCTCTAAGTGTACTTTATTGTACATAGGGTTATCAGAGGCCTGTTATTTCAAAAGTGGATAGCCAATCCTTCTTCCTACTCCATCTTAATTTGAATGCTCAAAGAAATTTGAACAAACATTTTGTAAAATGCTCATTGTTTTTGAGTCTCTCTGCTGTCTTCTGTAAATAGGTTCAGATTAAGCATTATAAGCAGGAGTGTTTTAGAATTGAGGCAGAAGCCAGAGCTGCAGGCAATTATGTGGACTTATCTCTTTATGTGTAATGATTATCTGTAAGGAAATCCTTCGAGATTACTAACATAACCTCAAAATATCTTTTAACAGCAATCCATCTGTCAGGGACAATGTAGAATGGGACATGCCTGGCCTCTGTTCCCAAAGCCTCAAAGCTCCTAGTAGCCCTGACCACTAACGTTTCTCCCTCTAGGAAATTCATTCTAAAGAGCTGACCAGGTTGGGCATGGAGCCATACCACAACCTTGCCTGGATCACCACTGAGTAGATTGCAATAAAATAGTACTTTATTGTAGCCATAGTATCTGCTTACAAAGTTTACAAGTAATTTGTACTAACATAGAGAACTTAGAGTAAATGCTTTTTTTTTTTAAAAAAAGGAGATACAAGTATTAAAGATATGTACTGAAAAACAACTATGAGATATTATCACACCTCAGTAAGAATAGCAAAATTTAACAGAACAGCAAACATCAAATGCTGGTGAGGTTGTGGAGAAACTGGAACCATTATTCACTATTTGTGGGAGTGTAAAATGGTGCAACCACTATGGAAGGCTGTATGGTGCTTTCTCAAAAAGTTGCAAATATAAATACCTTTGACCCAGCAATTCCATTACTGGGAATATACCCCAAAGAAACCATAACTGCCACTCAAGTAGATATATATCTATACCCATGTTTATTGTGACTTTGTTCACAATAGCAAAGAGTTGGAAACAACCTAAGCACCCATCAGCAAACAAATGGATAGAGAAGCTGTGGTATATTCACACAATGGAATACTATGCTGAATTGAAAAACAAGGAGCTCATGAAATATTATGCAAAGTGGATTACCCTAGAGGACATTATGCTGAGTGAAATATCTCAGTCACAAAAGGACAAATATTGCATACTGCCACTGTTGTAAAACGGACTGACATCGGAGTTGAGGGGAGACAGACAAAGAAGGGATAAATATACTGCATTCAAACAGATGAGGGAGAGAACTGTTTAAAAGGGATATGTGATTAAGAATTATTGTCCTGACAGGAGTCCAGAATGAAGGCTGCATAGTAGAGTGGACTTGGGGGGAGGGATTGTATAACAATGAAAGAATCTTTCTTTTACTTTTCAAAGAGAAGATTGTACTGGGGGGGAGGGGGGGAGGGAGAAAAGTGCAACAATGAATGGATGGAAATCCAAAATCTCAGTAAATGTTCATTAAAATGAGTAATAATTAAAAAAAGAAAAAACGTGCGGAAAAATACTAGAATAGTCTTAAAATACAATCAGCAAAGTGAAGGGGTTATATCTTTGTCATACTGATTTTAATTTTCTACTTGTTTTTATAATCTACTCAATTTCTTCTGCTCTGTGGTAAGAAAAGTAAAGTAAAGTAAGCATGTTTTTAAAACATCCACTTCCTCAAAGATTGGGAGCACAGTTGATGTTGTGGGGTTCTGTTCTTCCTCACACAGTTCTGGTCAACCCAGGACCGCTGTGCTGCTCACCTCTGCCAAACTCTCCTATTGCTCCTACACTCAGCAGGGCTCTCTGGAAGCCCTGCCTCCGGAAGCCCTACTGTGACCCCTAGGCCCTGGCACTTGCCCAGCCTTCCCCTAGGAGGCTCCTGAAAAGACAAATAATGCCAAAGGTAGAGAGGCCTCAGCACTGGGTCAGACAGCTGCCAGAAGTGTCATTTCCATGACAGGCATCCGTGGGTGGGCTTTCTCCAGACATTAATGAGAAGGAATGGTGGCAGTGCTGACTGTGCACATAGGGCCATCCCAGGTACTGAGGCACATAAATGGCTGTGCCCATCAAGTCACTTTTAGGTACCATGGACAAATCCCAACGTGAGTTATTATGGTTGAACAAGGAAGGTAAGTTATTGTCCCAGGCAGCTTGGAAGCCCAGGAATGCATCTGAGAGGACATTCACAGATACTCTTAAGATCCACCGACCCAACTGAAGTGTGTCCTTCCCCAGCACTTGTGGTTGCTCCTGATCGCTCAGCAAACCCCTTCCACATGCCCAAAGACGTGGATTTCTTCCTGCTGAGAGACCAAGAGCGGAAGAAGGCTCTCTTGGTGAGTATCCACTAACCCTTTGTTTCAGCTTCCTTGCCCATAGTTCTTCCTTCTCTCAGAGCCACATTTCTCTGCAGCACTTTCCTTGGGTCACTCACTCACTCAGGAACAATCAATAGCTCACCATTTCCTCCAAAATCAACTTAAGTTCTTCCTTGCTCTCACAAGTCCAGTTCCCACTGTTCCTGTGCTATCCGGGCAGGGTCCTAGGAGCAGCCTCAGCCTCATCAACTCTTTTCTCCCCTGTTCCCTACACAAGGTGGCACTCATTTGCAAAACTTCCCGCAAAACAAATCAGAGACTGTGCTGATCCTGCACCTTCGACTCACCTCCTCCAGGATGCCCATCCCCTGATTGCTCAGGCCCCTCTCATTGGAGTTCCTGGAGGCCAGCTATGCACATACACACACACTCGCCCGCGCCCCTCAGCAGTGCCTATCTACCGCCAGGACTACTTCTGACCCCATAAGCCATTTTTTTAAAATTTACTTTATATTGATTTGCTCACAAAGTTCATATACATTGTGTTTCACACTATTCTTCATTCATATTGTGTTTCATACAATCATTCTCATGCATTATATTTTATAAAATCAATCTCCATTAGAGCTTGCCCATCATTACCCTATCTTTTCAAGTCCCCACTGGGACCTTCCCATTTCCTTCACCCCCTCCCTCCACCCACCAACCCATGCAACCCTTCTACCCATCCTCATCCCTCTGCTCTCATCCCTTCCCTCCTTCGGCCCCCATACATGCTTTACTAATTAGCCTTCTATTTTTACATACAGTATGGTCCATGAGCTGTTTTTTCACCCTAGCCTGCTCTCTTCCTTTTTCCATCTCCAAGAGCTTTGGAAAAGTCTAAGATAGCCTACTTCTTTTGTAACGTCCAGGGCAGCCCAGAGAGGTTCTACTGAAGTGAAGCATTGCTATTGTGAACAAAGCCGCAATATACATGGGTGTACATATATCTGCTTGGACAGCAGTTAGGGTTATGGTCTCTTTGGGGTATATTCCCAGTAATGGAATTGCTGGGTCAAATGGTATTCTATTTGCAACTTTTTGAGAAAGCGCCACTCCGCCTTCCACAGTGGTTGCACCAGTTTACACTTCCATCAACAGTGAATAAGGGTTCCAGTTTCTCCACAACCTCTCCAGCATTTGTTGCTTCCTGTTCTGTTAAATTCTGCTATTCTGACTGGGGTCAGATGATATCTTGTAGTTTTGAGGAGTGAGGCATTGCTAAGATGGAAAGAAGGGAGCTCTGGTGGCGTAGTATTAAGGAACTACACTACCAATTCAAAGGTAGGCAGTTTGAATCCATCAGCTGTTTTGTGGAAGAAAGATGGGCAATCTCTTCCCATGTGACTTACTGCCTCTGAAAATCTGCTGGAAGGTCCGCTATAGGGTGATTCTGACTGGACAGTGTATAAAACAGCAAGACTGAGGCAAGTTCCACATGGATCTGGGAGTCTCAAATCTCTTCTCTTTGACCTGGAGTCTCCTGCCTGCCATAAGAGGGGCACGCAGCACCCACCCATGCAAACATGTGGCTTGTGTAGCACCTTGTCCACATTTGACCAGGGTCCCACAGCACCCACACAGCCTGTACCCTCTGACTCAGGGATTTGCGACTCTGACATTCCCTAGAGCTGTTGTTCTCAGGGCATCCCAGGCCAACAACAATAGCACATGATAGCAACTGGTTGGAAATGCACAGTATTGACCTACTTCAGTTGGACTGACTTAGAAACATTGTGTGGGGTCCATTTAGTGACTGGTGAAACTGATGCAGCATGTGAGACAGTCTCCTGTAAGAAATCCACCTGGTGGTGCTTTGGTCTCCACATCCCTGACTCCTCTGATAGAGGTGGAATTGTACCCAATTTCTTGAGCTCAGCCTGGGAAACCCTCCCTTCTCTCCACTGCTGGCTTTTTCTCTGCTCCACACCCACCTGTGTAGTCACAGGTCTCCCCTGCATTCTGCCTCAGATTCTGCAATCCTCTGCCTAGCAGCCCCAGTTCACAGCCCAGGGCAGGCAGAGCTCTGCAAACCCTCACTCCCAGGGCTGCAGGAGCCAGCTAGGGTGCACCCAACACCAGGCTACTGTCAGAGACCCACCCCCAGACCTGAGTCATGTCTGGATACCAGGGCCAGGGAATGGCAGGAAAGGCAGGTGGGGGTACGGGAGGGGTTGGTAGAACTTAACCAACTCAAACTCTGGACTTAAATTTCTTCTGGAAACTCAACATCTGAACTGAAAGGTTGCTAGATCCGCCAAGTCAAAGTATAGGAAACCCAGTTAAATTTATATTTCAGTTTAACAATAAAGGGTCTTTTAGTACAAGTATGTCCCAGGCAATATGTTAGCTGTCAGCCTCTTTACCAGGCATCCTGTGTTTTCCCTGGTAGCTCTTCTTAGACTTGGTTCTTTTTTTTTTTTAAACTCAGTTCTTATGTAGCAGATGGAGTCACCTAGCAGCAGTTGACCCCAGAGTTCCACCCCTACTCCCTTACTCTGCCCTCAGGACACAGACACCACCTCCCTGCTTTCCACAACCTCTCTCCACCCCAACCTTACCCCCCATGGATGTGAAGAAGGAAAGGTTATGAGACCTGGGGGGCAGGGAACAGTCTGCCTGATATGGTCTTCCCCACCTTGGCCCCCCAGGATCGGCAGCAGAAGAAAATCACACCGGTGCAGGAGAAGATGACTTACTCCTTCAAGGCCAAGCAAACCAGCCGGCTGCGAGAGCTACTGGAGGAGGATGTGGAGGAGAAAGAGGTGCTGGCCAAGGCCAAGCAGCTGTGTGCTTTCCGCAACAACACATCCTGGAAGCTCACTCTCACCAAAGGTAACCCTCCCTGCTTTCCTTCCATCTCAGGTCCACCCTGCCACCAGTGGCCAGGAATCTGAGCAGACCCCACCTGGCATGTGCTGGTGCAGTGGAAGGCCTTGTTTCTCCAGAGGCCTGGAACCAAGTGTTATTTGCATGTAGACACTGGAAGTGATTTAAAGACCTTTGAAAGACATGGGGCAGGGTCACTGGATATCAGCAATGAGAAACGATCTTGACCCCTACCTCACCCTGATCACAAATAGAAGTCTAGATGGAGGGCAGAATTCAAGTGCTTTTGTAGAGAAAGCCATCTGAATCACAGTTTACTTTCTGAATATTGAGTGACCAGACACAGTGAATACAGACTGCATAAGAAATCAAATATGGGTGATTTAGCTTAAAAGTTGCACACAGACATGCTGGAGCTAGATTTCTTGGGATCACGTCTCAGTTTCTGATCCCCCATCTGCTATTTGTGTTGTGGAATAATTTACTTTATCCCTCAGTTTCTCAGTTTCCTCCACCACCCTCACGGAATCCCGATGATCAAATGTGTTCAGACGTCTAGCATGCCTACTACAGAGTAAGAATGAACTACACTTGTGTAAATTGTTATGAATAATCATGCCAGTAGGAGATCTTATAAACTGTTGTGGTTAAGTGCTGTCAAGTAGACTATGACTCAGAGTGACTCTAAGAGCAATAGGTTGAAACCCTGCTCTATCCTGTGCTATCCTCACAATCTCCGCCATGCTAAAGCCCACTGTGGCAGTCATTGTGTCAATCCACTTCTCTGAGGGTCTTCCTCTCCTTTTCTGATCCTCTACTTTCCCAAGCATTATGTCTTTTCCTGCTCATTAGAAAGATGAGCAATCTCTTCCTATGTGATTTACAGCCACTGAAAACCCACTGAAGGGTCAGCTATGAGTTGGTTCTGACTTGACAATAAGTGAGTGAGTGACCCTTGAATGCCTTTGCATACTCTAGAAAACATAAGTAAACATCTCTGATATTCTCTGTTCCCAGCTAAAAATCATCTGACATCAGCAATGATAGTCCTTGTTCCACAGCCTCTTCTGAATCCAGCTTGAATTTCTGGCAGTTCCAAGGTGATGTACTATTCCAGTGGCCTTTGAATAATCTTCAGAAGCCAAAACAAAGGGAAGAAATTAAGAAGTTGAACAGAAGATTTCAAAGGGCAGCTTGGGAAGATAAAGTATTATAATGAAATGTGCAAAGAGCTGGGATCAGAAAATCAAAAGGGCCAAACTCAATCATCATTTCTTAAGCCGAAGGATCTGAAGGACAAATTACAATACTTAAGGATGCTTTGGGCAGAATATTAAATTATCAAGGAAGCATCAAGAGAAGATGCAAAGAGAATACAGAGGCACTGTACCAGAAGGACTTCGCTGACACCCAAGAATGTAATGAAACAATATATGATGATGAAGGGAGAAGTTCAAGCTGCTCTGAAAGAATTGGCAAAAAACAAGGTCCTAGGAATTGATGGCATACCAATTGATGTATTTCAACAAACTTGGCACCAAGTTGTGCCAAGAAATCTGGAGGATAACCAGCTGTCCAACTGACTGGAAAGAGATCCATATTTGTTCCCATTCCAAAGAAAGGTGACCCGACAGAGTGTGGAAACTATAGAACAATATCATTAATAATATCATATGCAAGCAAAATTCTGCTCAAAATTATCCAAAAATGATTGGAGCAGTGCATCAACAGAGAACTGCCAGAAGTGTAGGTTGGGTTTAGAAGAGGCCATGGTACTAGGGATATTATAGCTAATGTTAGATCAATCTTGGCTGAAAACATAGAGTACCAGAGGAATGTCTATCTGTGTTTCATTGACTATGCAAAGGCATTTCACTGTGTGTATCACAATAAAATGTGGCTAACTCTTAGAAGAATGGGAATCCCAGAAAACTTGATTGTGCTTATGTGAAACCTGCACTTGGACCAGGAAGCAGTCATCAGAACTGAGCATGGAAACACTGCATGGTTCAAAATTGAGAAGGTTGTATGCCAGGGATGTATTCTGTCTCCATATCTTTTCAGTCTGTATTCAGAACAGATCATCTGGGAGTCTGGGTTCTATGAGGAAGAGTGTGGCATCAGGATTGGAGACTCATCAACAACCTGCATTATGCAGATGACACAACTCTGCTTGATTGTTAACAACTTTAGTTTGCTTGGCTCCACAATCAACACTCTTGGTACCAGCAGCTAGGAAATTAAAAAATGAATTGCATTGGGAAAGTCTGCTGTCAGGAACATTTCCAGGGTATTGGAAAGCAATTATGTCAGTCTGGAGACTATAGTGCACCTGATCCAGACCATAGTTGTTGCAATTACTTGCAATGCATCATAAGGCTGGATAATAACTAATAAAAAGAATTGATGCCTTTGAGTTGTGGCCCAAGAGAAGAGTATTCTATTGACTGCTAAGAGAGCAAACAGGTTCATCCCGGAGAGGGTAAAACCAGGCAGCTCCTTGGAGGCAAGGATTCTGAGGCTTTGTCTGATATATCTTGGGCATTTTGCAAGGAGGGGCCAGTCCTTGGAGAGGGACATCATGCTGTGGACGGTGGAGGGACAGCACAAGAGAGGAAGACCCTCAATGAGATCGATTGATTCAGTGACTGGGGCAATAGGGGGTTAGGTGTGTCAGAGACAATACGGTTGGCACAAGATAAAGCAGATTTCAGGGCTATTGTACACAGAGTTGCTATAAGTCGCAAATGACTCTACAGCACATAATAACAAGATCTTATTTACACGGAATATTAATGATATTGTTCAGTAAGTTCAACACTCCATTGGATCACAGTTTTTGCTTTTGATGGCTTTTATAAAAACAACAACCAGATCTTATTTACATGATAATTAATGATATTGTTCAATAAGTTTCACACTCCTTTGGATCAAAGTTTTTGCTTTGTATGGCTTTTTTAATGGGTACAAAAGTTGATATTTTTCAGCCAATTGGCCAGGTAGCTGTCTTTCATATTTCTTGGTATAGATGAATGAGTACATCCAAAGTTGCTTCTGTGTACTAAAACTCTACAACTGGTATTCTGTCATTTCCTAGAGTTTAACTTTTATGGTCAATTCTTTCAGTGCAACTTGAACTTCTTTCTTCAGTACCATTAGTTCTTGATCAGATTCTCCTTCCTGGAACAGTTCATCTTGGTACAGTGTCTGTGTGTATTCCTCCCATCTTATTTTATTCCTGCATCATTCACTGTTGTGCTCACAGGATCCTTCAATAGTCCAACTCATATTTGAATTTGTTTTCAGTTCTTTCAGCTTGAGAAATAGTTAGCATGTTTTCACCCTTTTTATTTACTAATAACTCCAGGTCTTTGCACGTTTCATTATAATCATTGATGCTATTTTGTCTAATTACCCTTTGAAATCTTCTGTTCAGGTCTTATGTCATCAATTCATTCTTTAAGTTTATCATTTCTATATTAAAGAGCAAGTGTCAGAGTGTCTTTTGATATTCATTTTGGCTTTTTCTTTCTTTCTTGTGTTTTTAATGACCTTTTCCTTTTTTCATGGATGATGTCCTTGATGCCATCCCACGTGTCTTCTCTATGGTCATTTGTGTTCAAGAAAACATAACTACTATTGAAATGGCTTTTAAATGTAGATGAGATGACATTAAGGTAATATTTTTGTGTACTTATTTTCATTTTCTTCAGCTCCAATTCAATCTTACACAAGAATAAGGAATTAATAGTCTGTTCCACAGTCTGCTTCTGGCCTTGCATTAATTGCTGATACTGAGTTTATTCATTGGCTCTTTCCACATATGTAGTCAATCTGATGGCTGTGTAGTCCATCAGGTGAAGTCTCTGTGTATAATCACCCTTTATATATTTTTTTTAAAGTCACAGTGAGTAAATCATTTGTTATATAAAATCCTATTGTTCAATCTCCAGCCTCTTTCTTATCTCCAAAACACCATTTTCAACTATCAATTCTTTGTTTCCAGCTGGTGTATTACAGTCACTGTTATTATTAATGCATTTTTTAAATTAAATTTTATTAATTTTAGTGAACATTTACAGAGATTTTGGGTTTCCGTTCATTCATTGTTGCACTTATTATTAATGCATCTTCATTGCATGTTGGATCATTTCAAACTCCAGAAGTTCATAGAAATCATAATTTCTTTTGCATCTTTGGCTTTAGCTTGAATAATACTTGTATTAACAGGTCTTCCCTGTATGCACAGGATATTATCCTCTCACTGACAGTACTGCACTTCAAGATATATCTTAAAATGTTCTTTTGACAATGAATAAGGCACTATTCCTCTTCAATTTGTTATTCCCAGAAAATTATATGATTGTCTGATTCAGAATGGTCAATATCAATCAGTCTCAGATCACTCTTGCTTAGCATTTCACTCTTTATGTGTTTCATTTCACTTTTGACAACTTCTGATATTCATAGAGGAGGAAGAAAAGACCAAGATGGGTATCAGATGAGACTCTTAATATTGCACTAGAGCACTGAGAAGCCAAAGCAAAGGGAAGAAATCAAGACAATAAGGAGCTGAACAGAAGATTTTAAAGGGCAGCACAGGAAGAAAAAGTAAGGTAAGGAAACACTACATGGTTCAAAATTGGGAAGAGTGTATGCCAGGGATGTGTCTTGTCTCCATACCTTTTCAATCTATATGCAGAACAGATTATCTGGGAGGCTGGGCTCTATGAGGAGAAGTGTGGCATCAGGATTGGAGGAAGACTCATCAACAACCTGTGTTATACAGATGACACAATCTTGCTTTCTGAAACTAAGGGGGTCCTGAAGCACCTGCTGCAGAAGGTCAAAGACTGTAGCCTTCAATATGGATTGAAGTTCAACATCAAGAAAATAAAGATTCTCACGACCGGGCTGATTGACAGCCTTATGATAGACAGTAAAAAGATTGAGATTGTTAACAGCTTTAGTTTGCTTGGCTTCATAATCAACATTGTTGGTACCAGCAGCCAGGAAATCAAAAGATGAATTACATTGGGAAAGTCTGCTGTCCAGGACACCTCCAGAGTGCTGAAAAGCAATGATGTCAGTCTAGAGACTAAGGTGCACCTGATCTGCACCATGGTCTTCACAATTATATGCTATGCATCAGAAATCTGGACAATGACTAGGAATGACAGAATGAGAATTGATACCTTTGAGCTGTGATGCTGGAGAAGAATATACTTTGGATGGCTAGGAGAACAAACAGGTTCACCCTGGAGAGGGTGAAACCGGGCTCCTCCTTAGATACAAGGATCTGTCTTACATAGTTTGGACATGTTGCAAGGAGGGACCAGTCTTTGGAGAGGGACATTATGTTGGGGAGAGTGGAGGAACAGTGCAAGAGAGGAAGACCCTAGATGAAATTAATCTAGATTGATTCCGTGACTGGGATAATAAGGGTTGGTGTTTTAGAAACAATAAGGTTGGCTCAGGATAGAGCAGCATTCATAGCTGTTGTACATGTGATCACTGTAAGTTGCAGGTGACTTGACAGCACATAACAATGGCAATATGCTATGTATAGTCTACAATCCAATCATTAATGGATCATTGCAGCTGTTTTCCCCCATTTTAAATTGTATCATATCAGCAAATAAAAAGTCCTTCATTAGGTCAAAGCTTTACTCCATTCTTATCATAAATGCTGACTCCACTGTGAGGAGGTAGCCCCTTCCATCATCTGGAAAGAACAGCAAAACCTTTAAATGTGGCCTTTATCACAGGGTTCCTCTGGTTCCACATTGCCACAATTTCTCCACAGCAATGCCACAGTCTCTCCACAACTATCACTAGAGTCTCACTCTTACCAGGGTCTTGCTCTGGTCTTTCTTTCTCTCCAGTCTCCTTCAAGTCTTGCTACTCAGTGTAGTAAGCACTGTCTCTCATATCCTAGTCCCACCGCTGTTGATGGTTTGCAAGTCCATGCATCTGCAGTTAAGGTAGATGTAGGCCAGAGGGGGCTAATGTAATGGCTAGAAAGGCCAATTTTAAGCTAACTGGAACATAGAACACAGGGATACTTAGTTAAACATAAGTTAAATGGACACCCCAGTCTCCACCTTTGGTAAGATCAGTGGTTTGTTACTTTTGTTAGGAGTCCCCTGAATTATTGTGGCTGTTTCTTGTACCACACTTGACCACTGACTCATCTCTCACCTGACATTTAAGTTCTGTTGACCTCTTTTTACTCCTGATAGCTGGGAGAGGCAAATAGTATTTGGATAAGGAGTTATGCCTTCCTCTAGAAAAGTTGAAATGAGCAGAGAAGTAGATAAAGTTCAACAAGGGGCCATATGTGAACCCCTAGAAAGGACAAGGTCTCATTATATTTGGGCTATAAAAGCTCTTCAGTGCCCTTTCAACTTAAAGGAGGAAGCTGAGTCTCTGTGAGGCAAAGGGTTTCTCCAAGGCCTCTAGGAAGGCAGGGACCTCTTAAAATGAGGCTCCTCCAACCTCACCAGGACTCAGGTGGCAAAGTCAGAAATCCACTTAGCCAGAGAGGGCCAATTTATATCTGACGGACTCATCTGGAACAATCTCCAGCAATAGAGAATACAGTGTTTCCTCTTCTGCTGTAGACAGGGTGAGAGTACCGCCTCCCACAGACTTGTGACCTAGTATCACAGTGGGCACAAAGGAGAGCATCAGACCATGAATACGTGTCTCTTCTTGCTAGAGGGCTTCCCACCTTTTACAAATGCCTTCCTTATTTCATTGCAGAAAAGAGAACGGAGACAGAGAGCATACCCAACTACATCGACCAGAAGCGACAGATGTTCCTCATCCAGGTAGGCACAACCACCCATTTAAGGGACCATCATTGGGCATGCCAGCATGACACGGTACCATGGCTTCTCTGGTGGTCCTCAGTATGCCCTGGAGATGAAGCGGAATGAGATCAAGCACCTGGAGATGCTGACAGCCAAAGAGGAGGCCAAGCTGAAGCAGACTGAGAAGTCCCTAGAGAAGGATGCAGCCCTGTTTGATGAGTTCCTCAGGGAGAATGAGCGCAGCTCACTGCAGGCCCTGAAAGTGTGAGACTGGGGGCAGCAGAGGTCATTGGAGCACAACTCTGACTCCATGTGTCCTCGTCCTATACTCCTATCCGTTTCCTTGCTCAGTCCCAGCCTGGCCACCCCTGCCACTTCCTACCCCAGCCCCCTGTTCTTCCTGTCCTTTCAGTAGCCAACAGTTGGCTCCCTGGACTCATTCCACTCCAGGGCTGATAAGGAGACCAAAGCAAAGAGAGAGAAGATCTTTGAGATCCAGCAGCTCACTGCCCAGATCATGAACATGAAAAGGTGAGTAGGAGTTTAGAAGACAAACTAGACCCTTGGCTGGCCCTGCCTTGATTTCCCTTTCGTATTTTTCATGATAGCTGAAGGAATTGTCTCAAGATCCCAGGAGACAGGACTATCCATTTTCCAGTTTATGTAGTTATTATGTACCATGTGATTGAAACTAACTCATAGCTGACCCTCCAATGGGTTTTCAGAGGCAGTAAATCACATAGGAGACTATCTTTCCCCAAGATGCAGCTGGCTGGTTCAAACCGAGTGCCTTTGGGTTGACAGCTCAACTCCTTACCACTAGGCCACCAGAGCTCTCTCATTTTCCACTCAAGAGGACCAAAAGAGAGTTAACAGCTTTCCTAAGGGAAGGAAATCATGCTTATCTCAGTCGCTGGGAGGCAGGGTTGATTTGGCTAAAGGCTGCCTCTGCTTCAGGCCCTGGAAGATACATTGCCCCTAAAGCAGGCTAGAACCACAATGAGCTAGCAGCCCCAGGTTAATGTGGGAGGCCCCCAGGGGTGAGGACTCCTCTCCTTCCCTTACATGGCAGGAAGTCAGAGTCGACTCCAGCCTTGTCATGGGTGGGGCAGGGGCAGGACAGCCTTGCCTATGTGGCCTTGTTGAGACATAAGCCTGGCCTTACCCTCCTTCCCTGGGCCTAGCGAAATCTCCAAGTTTGAAGACACTTTGATGCATTACAAGATCTACAAGGATTTCCTGTGCAAGCTGTCACCAAAGGACTGGTCTGAGGAGCAGCAGAAGAAGTTGGCTCTCAAAAAGGCCAAGGAGGTGGCCCTCGCCTCCAGTGAGACCAGAATGTTCCCCACACCAGGGGACAAAGGTAGCAGAAGGGAATGGGAGTCCTGGAGGGGCGGTGGTTGTAAGTCTGCCAGTGGCCCATGGAGATCCAGGTCACACTGACAGGGGCCCCTCCTACCAGCTCTGCTCTGCACAGGGCATTTGGGGAAGATAAGCTCTCTTACAACCCCCTACCTCCTCCTGAGGCAGGAGAAAGGAAGGCCTTGGACCTGAGCAGGGCCCGAGTCCTGGCTCCAGCTGCAGTCAGCAATATAGGATTTCTCTTTGCTTCCCATAGGACCAGGAGGCAAGAGTAAAATGACTTCCTCAATGACTAAAGGTAAGTGGTGGTCCCAGGAGGGATGGGTATGCCAAATACCAATGAGACCACCTGGAAGCCCTTCTGTTCTTCTTCCAGAGGGGCAAGTCTCAAAGAAGACAGCGAAGATGCTCCCGGGAGTCCAGCTGGGGCCAAACGTGTCCAGCAGTGGGAGCCTCCAGCAGAGAGGCAGGCTAGAGTCCAAAGGGTGAGTAGTGGGAATGACCATAGGCTAGTGTCAATATTCTGCCCGTCATGGCCACAGCCTGAGAATGTTGAGTCATAGTCCATCTGTCCTAGTTCCAGTGGAAGCTATGTATTTCCATTGACTGGAACCTGGGGGAGGAGAGAGGGTCCTCCACTTCCCAACCACACTCAGAGCCTGTGGCCCAGTGACAGATGGACACCTGGGAAATGCCCAGGCTGGCCCCAGGGGCCTCAGGAAACATTGGAGGGAGGTCAGAGCTCCAAATCTTTTAAGAGATGTTAAAATTCTGAAACTGGATGTAAAATTGCCCAAATTTAAAAATAATAATTTTTTTAAAGTCCTTTTAAAAAAAATAATAAAGGCCAAATGACAATAGCAAACTAATTTGTGGGCTAGGCTGGGTTGTATTCTCCACTCAATACATATACAGAGGGACTACTGGTGGCTTAGTGTAGTGTTAAGTTTATACTCCCAACTTAAAGGCATGCAGTTAGAATCCATCAGCTGTTCCACAGGAGAAAGGTGAACAATCTCCTCCCATTCAATGTCCTGCCTCTGAAAACCCACTGGAGGATCAGCTATGAGTCCATTCTGACTCAATGGCACATAACAACAACAATCACCTCATACATAAGAACTCTTCCTGAAAAGGCAGGCCCACCCTCCCATTGACCCCCTTGTTGTGGTTAATTCACTGAAGAGTTTCTTTTTGTCATCGTTTTAATGACATTTGCATTTTTCTCAACTATTTGCATGGTTCCTAAACCAGAGATGCCTAGACGAAAGTGAGTTGAGCAGTCCTACTCTCCTGTCCTCCTAGCTCCCCCTCCCCATGTGGTTGAAAGCCACAAGCCTGCAATGACTTTGATATTTCTCATGTATTTTCTTTCAGTCATTTTAATGCAACAGTATGTTGAACCAAATGAATTTTCTACTGCTGAAGGTAAAAAAAAATGCATACTGGCTTGTTCTTGCAATTCACTCAAAGGGAAACAAAGGTTATATTCGTGCTTACACCTTTCTATGTCTCAGCAGTGAGGCCACATGGATGTCTTGACATAATGTCCAGGATGCCCTCTGCCATCATGGCTCCACCATACACACTCTCACAGACTTCCCTCTTCCATAAGCAAGCTTTTGCATTGCTCTTCACATGCAAGTAGGTGGGGGTAGTTGGGGGGAGCCTCAGGAGACATTGCTAAGAGCCTAGATTGCTCACTATAGCTCAGCCTGGCCCATTGTGACTGATCTGCCTCTTGCTGAATCTCACCAGCCAGGCTTTTTGCCAAGACTGTGAAGCATATCTAACAACCACTTGGTATATTAGCTTGGTCTCTTTTCATGTGTCTATGAAAAGGATCTTTTGGTTTGAACCCGTCTACTGTCCTACGTGACAAAGATGTGTCAGTCTGCTTCCATAAAGATTGCTAATATTGCGTGTACCTTTGAGTTGGAACTCACAGCTGACCCGCTAGCAGATTTTCAGTGACATTAAGTCATTTGGGAAGAGCTTGCCCGTCTTTCTCCCATCGAGCAGCTGGTGGATTCAAACTATGACGCTCCAGCAGGTTTTTGGAGGCAGTAAATCGCAGGAGAGGAGATTGCCTATTTTTTTCCCTCATGGAGCAGCTGATGGGTTCAAACTGTATGCCTGCCAGTTGGTAGCACAGATTCTTACCACTAGGCCACCAGCTCTCTCTGCCCTAAAAATTACAGTCCTGGAAACTGTATGGAGCAGGTAAGGATTATTCTGTCCTACGGAGTCTCCATGAACTGTAGTTATTTAAGCAAAGGATTTGGTGTCATTTTGGTTATGAGGCGCTTGACATCCCTGTTGGTACCAACTAAGAGGAGAAGATTCAAATCCACCTGTATGCACCTTGGAAGAAAGGTCTGGCACTCTACTTCAGAGATACCAGCCATGGAAAATCCTATGGAGCACAGTTCTACTTCAACACACACGGGATTTGCATGAGTGGGAACTGATTTTGGTTCCACTGACTGTCACCCTATGCTGCCTCCCACATCGGAGGGCCAGCTCGTGCCCTTTGCCACCATTTGAACTCCCCTATTGCCAGCACACAATTGTCCCACACAGACTTTGTACTCTGCAGCCTGATGAGTGACCACTGACAGGCTCCTCCTCCTCAGCCCCACCAGTACCTCCTCAAGCAGGCCTGTTATCTTCACACCTCCTTAACCACTCCGTGTGCCTGAGACAACTACAGGTCCTCACAGGCTCTGAAGCAGAGGCCGTGAGGAGGGCTACATCCCCTGCAGTCTACTCTGTTCTCAATGCTACCTGAGGAGCAGCTAGCAGGAACACCTACAATGTACAGTGTACCCTAGACAGTGGAGTGGTGCTTGCACAAGGAACAACTTCTCAGTGTACGTGGGGTTTTGTGAGAAACGTTGACTTTCAGAAAGAGGGCTAACCAGGCCAAAGCTGCAATTGTTCCACAGGGACCCCCATGCTGGACCCACACAGCTGAAACACTCCCAACTGTACTAGAAATTGCACTGTGTAATATGTCAGACTGCTAAGCAAAACACAGGTGATTCAAATCCACCTACTACTGTACATACTCTACAAGAGAAAGATGGGCAGTGTTCTTTCAGAGAGATTAATTGTTAAGTATTAAGATGACTACAATTCAAGGCAACCCTGCCTGTGTACAATGGATCAAAACCTTGCCCTGTCCTTCACAATACCACTATCTTTGTAATACTCAAGTTAATTTTTGCAGTCACTGTGTCAGTTAATCTTGTTAATAAGGGTCTTTCTCTCCTCCTCTGACCCTCTACTTTTTTCAGCATAAAGATTTTTCCAAGAACTTCCCTCTCCTAACAACATGCCCAAAATATGTAAGATGAAGTTTCACCATCCTTGCCTCTAAAGAAAAAGACATTTGCACTTCCTCCAAAAGACGCTTGTTCTTTTGGCAAACAATGGTGTATTAAATATTCTTCTCCAACAACAAAATTCAAAGGCATTGATTCTTTTTCATCCTTATTGATTGTCAAGCTTTCACATCCATATGAAGCAATGGAAAATACCATGGTTTGTTGCAGATGCACCTTATTATTTAAAATAATATTCTTACTCTTTATACTTTAAAGAGGGCCATAATTGTGCAACATGTCTTTGGATTTCTTGACTGCTTCTATCATGACTAACACTGTGGATTCGAAGAAAATGAAATAATTGAAATAATAAAAATAAATGAAATAGTTTCAACCTTTTTTCCATTTATCATAATGGCCCAATTTTAAAGATTTTTGTTATTTTGACATATAATCCAAATTGAAGACTTGCTTAGTGAAGATTTACTGAAGAAGTGTTTACGCTCCCTTAGTAAGTGATTCAAGTCCTCTTTGCTTTCAGCAAGCAAAGTTGTTTTTGCTTGCATAATGCAGGTAGTGGATGAGTCTTCTTTCCGTGCTTATGCTACATTCTTCATCAGATAGTCCAGCAACTTAGATTATTTGCCAGCATACAAACTGAATAGGTATGGTAAAAGAATACAAACCCTAACACACACCTTTCCTGATGTTAAATCTTGTAGTATCCCCTTGTTCTTTTAGAACAACTGTTTCTCAGTCTATGAACAGGTCTGCATGAACATAATTTAGTTTCTGGCATTCTCATTTTTCTCATAATAAAATTCATAATTTGTTATGATCCTCATAGGCAAATGCCTTTGTATAGTCAATAACACACAAGTAAATATCTTTCTGGTATTCTCTGATTTTATCCAGAATCCATCTGCTATCAGTAATGATATCTCTCATTTCATGTTCTCTTCTGAATTCAGCTTGAATTTCTGGCAATTTCTTGCTGATGTTTTACTCCAGTTATTTTTGAAGAAAAGTCAGCAAGATTTTACTTGTGTGTGATATTCACAACTAAGAGACAATAAATTGATAACTGGTAGTAATAAGTGCTATTTAAAACCCCCAAATTTTAAGAGATGAGCCAGGAGATTGAAGATTCTGCAACTGGAGGACGATGGCCAAGCCCTGTGGGGTGCGCTTGATTGGGGAGGCCTGCAAACAGGTGAATGTCTTCAGACAAACAAAATCTCTTCCAGGAGGCTGAGGGATTTCTCTGAGCATTCTTGCCACAGAAGATCATATACCTGAATCAACTCTTGAAAGAGGACTTCTTCAATGTGGCTGACCTTCGGGCCCCACTGGACTTCCTACTTCCAGATGTATTTCGCTCCCCCCCCCAAGATGATGAGATGGAAACAGATAAGCAGGAGAAGAAAGAAGTCCCTGAGTGTGGCTTTCTCCCTGGAAATGAGAAGGTGCTGGCCCCCCTTTGCCATCGTTGAAGTCTTGGACACTCAAAGAGAAATGCGTTCTGGTGATCACATGAACAAGCATCTGATCCCCAAGATTGAAGATGGAAATGACTTTGGTGTGGCAATTCAGGAAAAAGTGATGGGGAGAGTGAATGCAGTCAAGACCCAAGTGGAAGCCTTAAAGACAACCATTTCCAAGTACTTTTCAGAATGTGGGAATGCAGTGGCCAAGTCTTCCAGGGAGACCCGTGTGATGGATTGGTAGGCCCTAGTGCATAAGCGAGATGAGGTGGTCAGTAGTCAGTAGTCAGCTCAGAGCTGTGGTGCTGGACCTGAGGAGCTTTTATGCTGAGCTTTATCATATCATCAACAGCAACCTGGAGAAAACTATCAAGCCAAAGGGAGAAGAGAAGTTATCTATTATGCTCCTGGGTAGAAAAGAATTAAATAACTAGTACTCTGAAAATACAAAATCAACACAACACACACGTGATGATCAAGTTAAAGCAACTTTTTAGTGCAGAGTAGAATAATGCTATAAGATTTCCAAAGGAATTTTAGTGCTTGAGTCTGTAGTGAGATGTGTTACTAACTCAAAGACTAAGAATCTGTGATTCAACCCTCAGCTGTAGAAAAGTGGTCAATCTCCTCCCATTACAATTTACAGCCTTGGAAACTCAGTGCAGAGCTGCTGTGCATTTGAACAGATTCCAGGGCTATGAATTTGAATTGTTTCAGTTTGTTTTTTTTTTTAAGTTTTTTTTCCAATCTTTGTAGGCATGGATTATCATATCTTATTCCCATGGAACAGCTGATGAACACAAACACCAGATCTTTTGGTTAGGAATTGAACATTTAACCCTGTGCCACCAGTTGTTTTGTTATATACCATCAAGTTGAATACAGCTCATAACAACCATATAAACAAGCGATCTGAACCTTGTCCGATCCTGTACCACCTTAACAATCTCTGATATATTTGAGCCCATTGCTGCAGTCACTGTGTCAATCCACCTGTTTGGGGGTCTTCCTCTCTTTAGCTGACTCTCCACCTTTCCAAGGAATAGCCTCTCCTAGAAACATGCCCAAAGTATGTAAGATGAAGCTTTATTATCTTTGTCTCCAGGGAACACTTTGGCTGCACCTTCACCAAGACATATATCTATTTGTTCTTTTTGCAGTCCATAGGATATTCAGTACACTTCTCCAACACCACAGCTCAAAGGCATTGATTCCACCAGAAAGCAGGGCAAAGGAGCTTGAGGTAGAGGCCTGTCAGTGTATTAGGACATTCAGGGAATGTGACCCTGAGATGTGACATTTGAACAAGGATGTGGGAGTGGTAAGGGAGTGAGGGGGGAGAGTGTTCCAAACAGAAGTGGCCCCTAAATAAAAATTCCCTCTCCACAGGTCAAGCTCAGCCTCCCTCTTGGCACAGGAGGACCCAGAGAGCGAGGGCGAGGTCAGTGGCGAGGTCCAGGGGACGAGTAGGGACAGGGGTGGACTACGAAGGGCCAGGATGCACACAAGCACATCTGGTTGCAGGAGCTGGAATTGTACTTCATGGAACCACAGCAACTTCTGGATGTCTTCACCAAGCTGGAGGAGCAAAACCTCTCGCTGATCCAGAACACACAGGAGATGGAGGAGACCCTGAAAGAGCTCAGCTTCACTCTGAAGAATACCCAGAATCACATGTAGGTCCTGAAAGATTAGGGCTGGGGGTCTATCCTGGAGGTGTGGTGGGATCTAGCCTGATGGAGCAGCCAATGGTAGGAATGAGGAGGCACACCCTGAGATCATTTTGCTGAGCCCCTGAGATCCTGCTAAGCACTGGTGAGCCCTGAGAAGGGATGAAAGTGCACAAGCCTGGCAGTCAGGCTCCAGGAATGTGCCCATAGACCTGGGCAGGAAACTGGTGGAAAGGGCTGGAAGCTGTATTTGCAGACAGCTGTTCTATCCCAGAAGGAGAAAGGCATGGGCCGTTAGAGGCATTGTACTTTTTCTGCTCTCAGTCACTGCTCATTGGATGGGGTGGTACAAATGGTGTGGGGGCAGGCCTGGGTGAGCCGTGGCAGAGAACATGAAACCTGTGCTGTAAGATCAGCATGCTGGTACAAATAGTGGGCCTGGGTTAAGTTGGGCTGGGTGACCTGCTCAAGAACGATGGAGGCTGTGCTCGCTTCAGCAGCACCTATACTAAAATTGGAACAATACAGAGAAGATTAGCATGGCCCCTGCACAAGGATGACGCGCAAATTCGTGAAGCGTTCCATATATTTCAGATGCTCTGCTGGAGAAGGAGGGACAATCTCCTCAGATCCGATTTGACGATACACACACACAAAATAAAAAAAAAAAAAGAAGAAGAACAGTGGAGGCTGAGAACCATAGGGCCCAGAAAGCAGGGTCCTAAGAGAGGACAAAGTGGGTGGACAGTGTTAGATCATTGCCCAACTCTCCCCTGGAGCCTGGGGTGCTCTATCCCTTCAACTGGGTGTGGTCATCAGACATGGTCAGTCCATTTGCTGGTAGAATGATGGCTCCAAAAATACCTGTCACCTGGGTCCAGGACAGCTGGGCAGAGTACTGCTGGAGGCCTGGTGCGAGGGAGCAGGAAGTCATGCATTCCCAGGACAACACTCAAAAAGCCTCTCTCCTGGGCCAAGCCTGGTGTCGGCCTTGACTTTTTCCTGTTGGCATTTCAGGAAGACAACAGGCTGGACGATAGATATCTAAGTCCTAACATGCTAAAAGGACAACAAAACCTAGAAAGAAGAATTGAGGTGGAGAATGGAGAGGAAAGTCAAGAACTTACCAAGGGACAGGGAAGGAATCCAGTCACATGCAAGCTTGGGGGAAGAGTATTTCAGAAGAGGGAACAGACAGTGCAAAGACTTTGATTAGGAGTCATGCTTCCGAATAAATACCCACGTCTGATGATAGATCTCAGTGGGTGGGAATCTCCAGAGTGCTCTAAGATTTTGTTCCTTTGAAAGGCAATCCCTGGAAAAACAGTTGAACCAGTCAGAAGCATGTTTCCTTGTGTCACAGAGAACAACACACATTTACACATGCATGTGCCCATGTATGCTCATTCATGTACAGGCACATTCATGTGCCCTCGCACACACATACACATTAACCAGAACCTGCACATGTCACTCTAAAGGTGGCCTTGAGTGGTTACAGTCACTCTGTTGGTGAGTAATCCCTGAGAGCCTGTTATTAATGATGAGTCACAGAGTGCTTGAGTATGAACCTTCTCACAACAAAACCCAAAATGTTATTAGGTGTTAACTTGAGTATGACTCATAGTCACCCTATGATCAACAGACCTGATTCCTGTCCTGTCTTTGCCAACCTCACCATTGCTGACACACTTGAGCCCACTGCAGCAGTTACTGTCAATCTATCTGGTTGAGGGTCTTCCTCTTTTTACTGTCCCTCCATTTTCCCAACCAAGTATGATATCCCTCTCCAACGAATAGCCTCTCCTAGCAAAATATGTGAGTCAAAATTTTATCATCTTTACCTCCAAGGAGTACTCTGGCTTCACCTTCTCCAAGATACATCTGGTTGTTCTTTTGGAAGTCCATGAAATATTTAGCATTATTTTCCGACAACATAACTCAAAGGCATCAACTCGTCTTCTGTCATGCTTATTCAGTGTCCAGCTCTCAGCAGTATAACACATGATTGAAAAGATAATTGCCTGAATAAGGCATACCTTAGACCTCCAACTAACATCACTTTGTTGTTGTTGTTGTTATGTGCCATTGAGTCACTTGCAACTTATAGTGACCCTATATACAAGAGCCCTAAACCCTGTTCTATTCTGTGCCAACCTCATTGTCTCTGACACACCTACTCCCACTACCCCAATCACTGAATTGATCTACCTCATCGAGGGTCTTCCTCTCCTGCGCCATACCTCCACTCTCCCAAACATGATGTCCCTCTCCAAGGACTGGTCCCTCCTTGTAATATGTCCAAAGTATATCAGATGAAGCTTCAGAATCCTTGACTCCAAGGAGCAGCCCAGCTTCACATTCTCCAGGACAAACCTGTTTGTTCTCCTAGCAGTCCTTAGTATATTAAACACTCTTCTCCAGCACCACAGCTCAAAGGCATCAATTTTCTTTCTGTCATCCCTAGTCACTGTCTGGCTCTCCAATGCATAGCATGCAATTGTGCCTGGATCAGGCACACCTTAGTCTCCAGCCTGTTGTCATTGCTCTTCAGTACTCTGGAGAGGTCCCTGACAGCTGACTTTCCCAATGCAATTAATGTCTCTATTTCCTGACTGCTGGTACCAAGAGTGTTGATTGTGGAGCCAAGCAAACTAAAACTGTTAACTATCTCAATCTCTTCACCATCTATACTGATGCTCCTCAATAATTTGGAGAGGTTTCTGATTGCAGACCTTCCCAGTGCAATGCATCTTCCTTATCTCCTTACTGCTTGTACTCAGTGCATTGATTGTGGATCCAAGCAAGATGCAGTTGTTGACAGTTTCAATAATTTCTCCAACTATCATGCTATTGCCTAAATATAGGTCCAATGGTGAGAAGTTTTGTTTTCTTGATGCTGAGATGCAGTCTATACTGAAGGATGGAGTTTTTGATCTTCTGAAGTGAGTATTTCAAGTCTTCCTGACTTTCAGCAAGCAAGATTGTGTCATCTACATAATGAAGGTTATTGATGAGTCTTCCTCTAAACCTGATGCCACATTTTTCTTTATAGATTCCTGCTACTCATTAGTTTGCCAGCATACAGATTGGATAGGAGACCCTGAAAATTGCAATAAAGCAACAAAAAGCCAAACAAAGAGAAGAGATGTTGAAAGAACCAAACAGAAAATTTCAAATGGCAGCTCAAGAAAACAAAGAAAAGTATTAGAACATGCAGAGACCTAGAACTGGAGAATAAAAAGGGAAGATCTCACTAAGCATTTCTCAAGCTAAAGGAACTGAAAAACAAATTCAAGCCTTGAGTTGCAGTACTTAAAGATGTTAAGGGCAAAATCTTGAATGATCCAAAAAGCATCAAAAGCAGATGGAGGGAATATACAGAATCATTGTACCAAAAAAGAAAAACCAAAATACAATATTTAAAAATAACAATCTAAGAGTGAGCAAATTCCCCCCCAATACTGGAAGAAAGTGTGGTTTTATCTGATAGTCTCTGCTTTTCTTAAATGCTTTTAAGCAGATTCTGGGCCATAGCAACCCTGAGTGGTGGTCTTTGTTGTTATTGTTATATGTGTTGTCAAGTCAAATACAACTCATAGTGACCTTATGAACTGTAGGCCTAAACCATGTCCTGTCCTGTGCCATCCTCACAATTTCTGACACACTTGAGTTCATTGGTGCAGTTACTTTGTCAATCCATCTGACTGAATGTCTTCCTTTTTTTTTTTTTGCTAACCTAGTATGAGGACCCTTTCTAAGGAATAGCCTCATCTAGCTACATGCCCAAAGTATGTGAGATAAGCCTTTTCCATGCTTGTATCTAAGGAGCACTCTACCTGCAACTTCTCCAAGACACACCTGTTCTTTTGGCAGTCCATGGATATTCAGTACTCTTCTCCAACACCACAGTTAAAAACATCAATAATTCTTCTGTCATCCTTACTCATGCCTAGCTTTCAGATATGGAGTAAGTATTTGAAAAGACCATTGTTTGAATCAGACAGACCTTGATGTTCAAAATGGCATCATTGCTCTGCAGTACTTCAGAGAGATTCCTGACAGCAGACTTTCTAAATGCAGAACATCTTTTGATTTCTTGATTGCTGGTACCAAGGGTGTTGATTATGGACCCAAGTAAGATGAAATTATTGACAATTTCAATCTATTCTTGATTTATCATAATGTTATCTATTGGCCCAGTGGTATTTTCGTGTTCTTGATGTTGAAATGCTAACCATATTGAAGGCTATAGTATTTTTATATTCTGCAACAAACATTTCAAGTACTCTTCATTGTCACTTTGCAAAGTTGTGTCATTTGCATAACACACGTTGTTGACAAATCTTCCTCCTATCCTGAAACAACATTCTTCTTCATAGAGTCCAGTTTCTTGAATGATTTGTTCAGCATACAGACTGAATAGATATGGAGAAACGATACATCCCTGACGCACACCTTTCTTGATTTCAAACCATGCAGTTTTCTCTTGTTCTGTTTGGACCTCAGTTTCTTGGTTTAGATGTAGATATAGATTTTGTATGAGCATGATTAAATGTTCTGGGATTACCATTCTTTTCGATGTTTACCATAATTTGTTATGATCAGCACAGTAAAATACCTTTACTTAAACAATAAAAAACAAATAGACATTCTTCTGGCACTATCTGTTTTCAGCCAGGATCCATCTGAGATCAGCAGTGATATCTCTGGTGTCATGGCCGCTTTCAAACCCAGCCTGAACTTCTGGCAGATCTCTTTCAACGTACTGTTCTAGCTGTTTTGGGATTATCGTCAGCAATATTTGGTTGCATGTGATATTAGTGTTGTTGTTATTAAGTACCATTGGGTTAAGCGAACCTATGAACAAAAGATCTGAACACTTTTCCATCCTGCACCATTCTCACACTTCCTGACACACACAAAAAAGACCGTTGCAGCATTTGTAGTGTCAATCCATCTGGTTGAGGGTCTGCCTTTCCTTTGTCAACCCTCCACCTTTCCCA